GGACCTTGCACTTGTCTTGGTTAAACTTCATGAGGTTGGCATCAGCCCACCTCACAAGCCTGTCCAGGTCCCTCTGGATCCCATCCCTTCCCTCAAGCGTATCAACTGAACCACACAGTTTGGTGTCATCAGCAAACTTGCTGAGGGCTCATCAATCTCACTGTCCATGTTGCTGACAAAGATGAACAGGATCAGTCCCAACACCAGCCCCTGAGGGACACCACTCACCACCAGTCTACACTTGGACATTGAGCTGTTGACTGCAACTCTCTGAGTGCAACCATCCAGCCAGTTCCTTATCCAGTAAGTGGTCCATCCATCAAATCCAGGGATGTCTGCTCCATCCCTGGCAGTGTTCAAAGCCAGGTTGGACAGGGCTTGGAGCAACCTGGTCTAGTGTGAGGCATCCCTGCCCATGGCAGGAGGTTGGAACTGGATGATCTTAAGTTCCTTTCCAACCTAAACCAGTCTGTGATTCTGTGATTCTGTACAAGGACTTAATGCTCTCCTACTCACAGCAGTTTGGACAGTTACATTGCTTCAGTTTTATCATCCTGCTTTCCTTCTGTTACTTATCCTTTGTGCCAGAATGCAAATACTGTTCTATTAAAGCACCTTCCAGTGCAGCGTCCATAAGTAAAACAACAAAGGAAGTATTGGCAGCATCAGGAGGGAAAGGAAAGAGACAGCAGAAGGGAGAGAAAATGACTGACAAGTCAGCAAGACCTAGCTTAGACCACTGAAACATAACCTTCAGCAAAACAGGAATTCTTTCCATCTCTCCAACCCCACATAGAAATGACAGCAAATAAGTTTTACAAGATGCTGTTTGTGATATTCAGTGCACACATGTATGTATATGTGCTTGCACGTACAAACTTTTTTAGTATTTCATTAAAACTCTCCCATAAAGAACTCAGGGAAATTGAGCATCTCCTTTTGACTGTGTCTTTAACGTACTGCTGAGTGTGGCCATTAATTATCATTAAAAGGATAAATCCATGTTTTCCTCATTCCACTAAACTCTTAGTCTCAAATTCAGTGAAAACTGAGATTCTCATAACCAGTAGAAATGTTCGAATTGGATCAGCTGCATTCATTTGGGAGGGCTCGTGTTAATCCAGCAGCAAGGTAGCACGGTTACAGTCCGAATGCATCCCAGTGTTTCAAGAGTGGTTGTGCTTAGCTTTTCTGTGCTTGATATTTGGAATAGAGATTGCTTTCTGCATCCATCGCATCCGTATTAGTTCTTTGACTTGCTTGACAAGACAGATGGGAGTGACTTCGTCTTGGCATGATAGCTGTCTCTTTGAATCCCTTATAGATGTTAACAATGACCTTTCCTGCAAGGGCAAGATAAATTAGACAGCCAAGAGGTCTTTATAACAGTTTGAGATGTCCACCTACCACAATGATCTTGGTGTGCATGTGTCTGTGAATTTGAGGGGATTGTCATAAATCCTCATAAACCCTTCCTTTGCTGAAAGTGCAGGGGAGAGGACTGTGAAGAACTACAACTCCAGAACACTTTTTCTCTTTTTCTTGGTTCACCCCCACCCACCCACCTTTTTTTTCCCATTATACATGTTAAATAATTCTATCTAGAGTCCCCCACTAGGTTTGCAAACTGACTGCTTTGGAACATGAGCTGTTTTGACAGTTGCTCAAAAAGAGGTAAAAGCATATTCAAAGCCATTAACTGAGTATCCAGTTTTTCCAATTTGAGAACCCTTGAACTCCCACATGTTGATCTTTTCTCTCCCTTAGGCAGACATTAATCTCTTCTTGCTTCTCCATAAAATACAGCCCAGGGCAAAGCTGAGTTCTAAACATCCTTCAGGAGAAAACTTCCACAAAGTTTTAGATTTAATGCACTGAAATATTGCTTGTGCTCTTCAGTTGTGGGAGACCTACTCTTCAGGTAGATATACTCCAAGGAAAATCGCTTTTGCTTGCAATGTATTTCTTTACCATGTTTAAACTGTAGTACTGTATCCTTGTTATACTATAAAAGTACATGTTTCACAAGCTGAAAGAAAAGATTTAATGTTGTGACTTCTGTGTACATGTTTCACAAGCTGAAAGAAAAGATTTAATGTTGTGACTTCTGTGTCTAGATACCCACAGGCAAAGATCAAGATACATTCAGTGATGCACACACTTTAAGAACAGCCATCTACCTGCCTTGGTTTTAATTTTTTAAAAGTCAAACAGCATCTGCCACTAAAAACTTACACTAAAAATCACATTTCTGCATGAGAGGAGGTTTAGACTGAACATTAGGAAACATTTCTTGACTAAGAGGGTAGTCAAATACTGGAACAGGCTTCCTAGGGAGGTGACCAGTGTTTAAGAGGCATTTGGACAATGTCCTTAACAACATGCTTTAACATTTGGTCAGCACTCAATTGGCTGGGCAGCTGGACTAGATGATCATTGTAGGACCCTTCCAACTGAAAAAGTAGTCTATCCTGTCCCATCCCATCCCATCCTATCCTGTCCTATCCTATCCTATTCTTTCTTTTTGAACTTTTCTTCCCTATCCATTACCTATGGAGAAGGTAGGGCATTTTACTCGAACTCTTGATTTCATAAAGCTTCCTATCACAGAACACTTTATGATGAGAACAACAACAGCAACAAAACATCTTTTGTAGTGATTGGTCTGTAATAAATGTCAATGTGGATTCTCATATTCTGGTCCAAGAACACTTTTTTTCTAATGTAATGTAATCTTTTTTGGAAATCCATCATTAACTACAAAGGGTAATAAAAAGTTTAAGAAAGACTAAAGTGAAGCTACAGTTCTTGAAACATACATCAGTGAAGATGATGAAGAAAATGTAGTGCCTGGCCTTTATCCTTTTTTTTTTTACTCATAGAATAGAGTATGAATTAGGTACTTGTAAAAGCGAATAACAAAACAAAGTAATATTGATTTCCTCTTCTGTCCTATAAAATTATTGATCTGTTTTTAACCTAATTGGCACTTGTGAAAATAAGTAGAAGAAGCAGTAGGCTATTTCTGGGGTTCAAGTATTTGTTCTCAGTAAGAGAGTCCTAGACCTGCTTGTCTGGGGCTGTGTTGGCTGTCCTAAGAAGCTAAAGGTCTGAGTGCCGTAGCGTACTTCATTTGCTTTGTTCTCCTTCTCTTTAATCTCATGTTTCTAATTATTTCTTGTAAATTGGAGAAGTAACAGTGCTAAAGATGCCTTAATGTATCAATACCCAGCAATTGAACGTACACTGCTAAAAAAAAGAGGTTTCAGTAAGTCTTATCTAACATCAAAATGAACAGCTGGGTAAAGGAAGGAGATAATAAAGTTGTTTTTCAGTTACAGCCACCAGAGTCTGTGTGAAGCAAAGGAATGTTATTGCTCCTATATCTTGCCTACAGGTCAACAGACATATAGATAGATACAATGTTTCTATCAATCACAGACATTTTTAATCAGTTATACTTTTTCCTCTACTATAGAATTTACTATATAGAATCCAAAATCAATCCGTTTCCTCAATTTTAATCCTCAGATATTCTGTCTGTGGGAAAATTTACAGATGGGTGAGTCCCTAATCCACATGCTCATGTATTTGAGGTTTGAGGAATTAATTCAGTTTAGGTCTAAACTTCCCACACTTCCTTTTAGGCAAAGCAACACTAAAGATATCACACATAAATTCGGTGGCAGTATTTGTGTTGGCTTCAACAAGCTTTAGCTCAGCCTCCAAGCTGTATAGTCTGGATGTTGAGCTTGATGCTTGAAGGTACATCTTATTGCCATCAGAGGAGTTGTCTTGAAGCCTAAAGCTCTGTGAGAATCATCAGAATCAGGATAGCTGATTACAAATTACACATCAGGAACATTGATTAAAAGGCTTGTAGTTGATAAACCAAACCACATGGATACACCTGCATGCTTTTCTTTGGTATATGATCTCATTTATTTCATAAATCATAAAAAAGATTAATTGAGATTTAAAATAACTGAGAATATAAATGTTTACACACTGATCAACCTTTGTTTTTTGGGGCCCTCACATAATTCACAGCTCAAATCTTTGTAAAATGCTGTCCTGCTG